TTTTCGCATATACGCTGTGCCTTGCCAGAGCTGAACTTTCACTTAACACGGATTTTTAGATTTTGCCCACGCACCACCTGCCTGCCCGCCTGCCTGCCTCTCCCTCCTCCTCCCTCCGCTTGGGCAAGCCGCGCGGTAAGGTTGCGCAGTGTGTGTCTTTGTTGCGTTATCACTGACGTCATATGACGTATCGGACTGTGATTGGCCATGCATCCCTACCCCCCTCTGTTGCTAGCTGGAATTGGCTTAACGTATTATGACGTGACCATCCTGGGGAGGGAGGGAGGGAGGGAGGAGAGACGATGCTTGACCTAGCTGCGGCAGTTTCATCCCTCGAGGCCACACCGTGTAAACGCGCATCCATTGTTCCGTAAAATGGCTTCCGCCGGACCACCACCGCCCCCAGAGAGAGACCTTTCCTTACCTGGACCCAGCGGCACTAAGCCAAAGAAGATACGACGTTCATTAAGCTACGAGGTGAAGTACCAAATTGTTCAAGATTTGGAGAAAGGAAGACGGCAAGTTGATCTCGCGCGCCAGCATGGCGTCAACGAATCTACGATTCGCACGATCAAGAAGGATGCAGCCAAGATCAAAGAGCACATGAAAATCACAAAGTCTGCAGGTGCTTCATCTATCAGGTATTGCCAGAACAGGGTGCTGGCAAAAGTGGAAAATTTGCTGGTGAGTTATTTGGTTCGTCAGGCGCGACGCAACATGGCGGTGGACACGCGCTCAGTGCAGGAGTACGCACGTGAGCTATACGCAGCAGTGTCACGTAAGCTGGGAATTGCAGAGCCCAAACCCTTCAATGCTTCCTCTGATTGGCTGCATAGGTTTAAGAAGAGGAACAAGATCACCAACATCAACATTGGTGGTGAGGAAGCGAGTGCTGACCGTGTGGCGGCTAGAGATTTTCCTCCGTTCTTACGTGAGATTATGGAGGAAGGACAGTACAGTGACGACCAGGTGTTTAACATGGACGAATCTGGTCTTTTCTGGAAAAAGTTACCTTCCAAGACCTTCGTTGTCCAGTCTGCCAGCAAGGTAAGGGGTCGGAAGTTGCAGAAGGAACGCATCACCGTCCTGTTTACCACCAATGCCTCCGGTACCTGTAAACCAAAGTTATCGGTGATTCACACAGCCCGCAAGCCGCACGCCTACAAGAATATGGACATGAACAAGCTTAATGTCCACTGGCTAACCGCACGTAAGGCGTGGATGTCCTCTTCTCTGTCCCTCTTCTGGTTTGACAACTGTTTTGTTCCCGACGTGAAGAAATTCTGCGAGCAACAGAATGTTCCATTCAATATTTTGTTGCTCCTTGACAACGCACCTGGACACTCGCCCCTACTTATGGATCGTCACCCCAACGTAAAAGTGGTCTTCCTTCCTCCCAACACTACGTCATTAATCCAGCCCATGGACCAGGAGTTGATCTGCAATGTGAAAGCTGCGTACTCTGCAAAGAAGTTCAAGCTCCTGAACGACTCTACCAACACCAAGGATGAGTTGCGTAAGCTGGGTGACACCGACAGCGAGAGCAAAAGCGACGAGGACAAGGAACAAGAGGCGGTGACTCAAGAACTTCTCGTCAAACAATTTTGGAAGAAGTTTAACGTTAAACAAGCTGTAGACTTCTTGGTGGAGGCATGGGATCTGCTGACTATTGCTACGATTCGTCACGCATGGAGACATGTGTTGCATGGCATACCAGGTGAGAGGAGGAGTGAACCTGTGACTGGTCAGGTTCAGACTGTTGCAGTAGCAGTGGACCTTGCCAGAGAAGCTGCGCTCAATATTACAGCTGAAGGCTTCTCCGAGACCACCAACGAAGACATCCTGGAGGTGATCAAAGATCCTGAAGTGACTGCCGACGAGATGTTGGAAGAAGAACACGCCAGTGAAGAGGAGGAAGAAGGTGCGTCATTCTCCGAAGAACCTAGTTTAAGTCATAGTGATATTAAGTGTGCCATAGAGTTTGCAGAAAAAATTAAGTCCGTCCTTTCCCGCGACAATGACGATGAACGCTATGAAGTCTTCCATACCCGACTGGTGCAGGCTATGGAGCCGTACATCATGGTGTATCATGACAACATCAACGCCAGCCGTCAGCAAAGCATAACCGAGTTCTTCGCCCGCAACCCACCACAGCCAGCCCAAGCCAGTGATAGTGAAAGTGAAGTTGACTTTGAGGGATTTGTCAGGGAAGCCCTGACAACTGTAAGTGACAGTGATGGTGATTCACCTAGTAATGGTGATTCACCTGAGGGCCAGTAATCTGCCCTCTGCCTCGGAACCAGCCTCCATCCCCGTATGCCGACCCATCTCTTCTACAACCGTAAGTGTTACATCTAACTTTTAGTTTCTCTAACTTAACCTTCATTTTTCCTATGTTAACCTTTATCTTTCCTAACCTAACCTCTTCTATATTACTTGTTTTTTCATACCATCATAAAGTTAAGATAGAATTTTTACTACAACATAGTTATGTGTCGTCAAAAAGTGGAGTTTGGGGGTCGGGCTGGTTTCTATTGGAATTAATCCCATATGTTCTGTTGTTCACTTAACGCGGGACCCTCTGGGTTCAATTGACCGCGTTAAGTGGGGTACAACTGTATAAGCTAGACAGTTGGAGGGGGGGGGGTCCTGGATCCCCTCTTTTCATCAGTAAATTGCAATATATAGTACTTTTTCTTTAATGCAGTATTATACTCAGGCATTTTTGTGCAGAATAGCAAAAAGTAATTACTATTGACCTCGGAATATCTCCTATTATTAAGTGCACATGGCCTCAAAATGTGTGATATTGGTCATATTGAAAAACAAAATTCTGGGGGCTTTTCCCTCCCTTCCAAAAAAAAAAAAAAAGAAGCTGGGTGGGCACAGTGTTTATGCTATACCACCCACAACTTCTGGACCTCTTTGATATTCCCGGACCTGCCCCTGCAGGCACTCTAATCTCTCTGGATAACTGAGGTGCTGGAGTGCAGGCACCAGTTTGATGACTTTTCTTTGAACATTTTCAACCAACTAACAGTTTCTAGCATATCTTGGAGATCAGACAGGGAAGCACCTCACTCTTGAAGAGCGTTATGAGGGACGGAACATCTAGATATCTGAATGACCTCATAAGACCTACAAGTTTAGTAGCTTGATTCACCTTCTTCTCACAATGGGCCGAGAACTTCAATTCATTGATGACATACACCCAGGTCCTTTTCACATTCAGTCTCTTGATGAAGTTTTTTTGTCCCAGTGGGACATGTGATATGTCTTCTTACTGTTGGTATGACCTAGGGGCATCCTCTTACACTTCTTGACATTGAAGGGAATGGTTACCTTTCACTTTCCTTTGCATGCAACAATGAAACTGGGGGTATGCTATAACGAATCTAATTGGTCCTAGAACCTTGTTCATTATAGCATTCGTTCGTTATAGGATTAATCCGTTCCAGGCCACCAAATACAACCACTTAACACTGAAAAATATAATACAGTGATCCCTCGGTTAACGAGCGCCTCGGTTAACGAGATTTCGGTTAACGATTTTCCTTCCATAAGATTCTTAACTTCGGTTAATGAGCAATCCCTCGATTAACGAGTTTTTTACGAGCCAACTTCAACATGTTTTCGCTTGCATTTGGCGGTCCACCAGCTGTAGCATTAGTCCGCCAATACAGTAATTGGTTTTAGGGCTTAAATTCCTTACTATTTTAGTAAATATCAAGAAGTTTATACTATTCAATAATTTTAAAAGTTTAATATTAACTTTTTTAGTCATTTTAACAATTATTGAACAAAATTGAAGGTAAAGAAACTAGTTTCTGGCGTGCCATCCAGCCTGTTAACACACCAGATAGGCATTAGTCTCTCTCTGTTTTCAGTGGAGGTAACATCTTGCTTGAGACTCTCTTCAACTAAATGCGTTTTTTCTGTGTTTCCAAGCAAATTATTGGTCATTTTGAAATTTATTTTACATATTGACAATATATAATGCAGTGCAGTGTTGATTTAAAGAAAATAATCTTGAATTACACCAAGAGAACTAAAATTTTATGGGTGAAATGGTGCCATGGGGTGACTTCTCTTCCACCCCAATGACTTCTCTTCTCCCTTCTCCTCCACCCCCATTCTAATTCCCATCATCATCATCCAGGAGCCTTCTACATACACACCTCATAGTAAGTGTACTTTTCTACCTTTTTTGTTGAATTTAGGCAATTTTCGGTGAGCTGGAACCAATTACCCAAAAACCCATTGAAACAATGGTTTCGGTTAACGAGCAACCTGCTGGAACGGATTGTGCTCGTTAACCGAGGGACCACTGTATAAAATTGTAAAAAAGTGCATAAATATGCATCTAAACCCCTGAAATAAAGAATATCATTAATACTTGTAATAAAAAAACAGTAAATTAGTAATAAAAAAAAAATCGTTGTAGTAGTTTCGTTCGTTATAGCATTCTCAATTTTATAGGTAAAACCGTTCGTTATAGGAATATTCGTAGTAGAATCCATTCGTTATAGCATATCCCACTGTATAAGTTTTATCCAGTAATAACAAGGTCAACAATTCTTCAGGTCTAATACAGTACTGTATTGTTAACTGAATTGGTAAATACAAAAATAAAAACCCAGTATATTCAAAAGTAAATTTTTGATACAGATACAGTACACCCAGATAAGTGCATTTCTTCAATTTGGCAGTCTATTTTCATATATCCAAATATTTCATTGAGTGTCTCTTTGCCAAAAGCATTGGTTAAGTACAAAAGCTGTCCATACTAAGCCCAAATCCTAGGGGTTAACAATGTAGTGTCATTATGGCCTGATGATTTCGGTGAGTAATAATTCATGACTGGTAATAATGTAATGTACAATTTGATGTACTCATGGATATATATTTAGAGACCAGAAAATTGCTTCTGAAATACCAATAACTATAATTAATTTCTTAAAATCTTACTGTTCAGAGGATTTAGAAATAAAACAAATATGTATATTCAGTGTTATTCTCTATTTACTAAGGAAATCACACAACTCTACACTGGGGAGACACCACAGGGGCCAGATGAGAAATGAATGTGCTTTGCTCAGTACAACTGGTTTATAATCAAACCAGTCCAAAGTTGTACATCACATCACAATAATTCAAGAATGGCAAGGAGAGGACAATACACCTGCAACATTTCAGGTTGTGGACAAACTTTCAAGCCATTACTTGAAAATTTTTTCACTGTTTAATAGGGAATTCTGAAGAATCAAATAAATCTATTGGTAACTCATAAAATTAATACAGTATGCAAATGATGAGAAAAAAGCTGGTTAATGGCCTACAGTAGTAAACCACAAGAATATCTAAACAGTGGCTTAAAGGGGCAGCAGTCTAACAAAGCCACACCTTTACCTGGCTCAACGAGAATAGCAAAATGATCCTCTGGGAGAGAAGATGATTCTGATAGCAGTTAGTTATTTGTTTAATTCCCAGATAAAAAAATAATCTTGAGTATATGTCAAGAATAACCAAAATTATTGGAATGAAAAGTTCTGAATGGCAATGAGAATTTTAGCAGCAGCAGCCAGAGGCACCTTTGCACTCTCAAAACTACCCAACTTAACCAAAATAAGATCTTGGTGTAAGAACAGGGCAGTTTTCCTGAGATATGTACAGGTAAATTCACAGGCCATTTATCAGCAAAGTTCTTCCACGCAATACTTTAAAGGCTTAAATAACACTATCTACAGAATCAAATGTTATAACAATTTTCACAAATGTCCATCATTAGTGGACTATTTTCTATTGCCACAACACAATACTGTTAAAATAGCTTGCATTGACTAGACATAAAGTACCACTGTAACCACAAAAAACACATGAGATGCCTATTTTTGTGTACTGACTAAATAACAGAAAATATGCAGTTAAACTATGAACACCTTCCAACACTTAAGATTGTTTTGAAACTTCTGGCAAATATTGTGACTAGAAAAAAGAGAGAAATTGTAAGGTATATAAATAAATAAATAAATAAATAAATAAATTAACTGAACATGACTAAAAGTGAACACCATAAATACCTTTTGTACAAACTAACATACATTAAAATACAACTAAGTTGTTAATAAATATTAAATATTCCGTAAGCTAAACAAATTATATATTATAATAAATAATTAAGTACTAAGTGGGCTTTGGCTTCCATTTGATCTGAAGATTCAGAAACTTAAGTAATGGGCCATCATATTTCTTTCTCACTGTAGACGGGAGAATCTCTTCTAATTCTTCTTACATAAACTATGAAATCTCAATATCTAATTCTATACAAATATTGCACCAAGTTGTTTGCTGAGTATTCTTGGATAAGTATTTGTAGTTGAACAATAGGATTCTGTACTAAGATATCACATCTGAGTCTACTAAACAGAACAACATTGTGACAAATTACTGATTTTCTCTCAACCATTGCATTATTAAAATATTGTTGTCTTAACTGTTCATTGCACTGTCCAACATACACCACTGTACATTATTATCTCAGACTTTCAGGTTTTCCATAACATACATCAATTGCATTGAGCAATATTTCATGACTAGCATAATTTTATGGATTTACTGAGAACTATATGACTGGCACTAGCACTAACATTCCTATTATGACTAGAATATAACTTCTGTAAGTTTATCACTTAGCCATTTCACAATGGACAGATCAAATTTTATTAACATTTTCTAACAGAAAATATCTGAATACTGATGGATCTTGTTAATAAAGTGAACAATATCGTTGTCTGGACCATGTACAGTACAGTACAGTATAAAATAACAGCAAAAACCAGGTTCCTATGCAAAAATTGACTACCCAGGTACAGATAACATGATAAGGTCAGAAACCTGTGCTCTGTTTCCAAATACATACAGTACATGGTATATAAACGGTGGGGGGACTGGCTTACAAAGAAATTCTCTATTAGCCTCTGAACTGAGAGTTGTCAATAAAAATATATTTTATTAAATGTAAACTGAATATTCATAGAATGCAAGCTGGTACATTTTTGATGTTTGTTAATGCATGTCTTTTCAGCAGAAGTGTAACATTTATAAGTGTCCTATTTGAAATAGAAGCACATTTATATACACAAATAAATTACAGCTAAACAGTCATTGGGGAAGAGTGTTAACATTACTTCTACAGTGTTAATGTCATAACTGAATCCTTTTAACACACAGCTTTATCAGATCACTGTCAACTTGAAATTTATTTCATACACTTCACTCATTCCCATACAGTATTACAAATGCCACAATACATGAGTATTTGAACTAACATAATTCAATATTATTTGACCTACCATAACTTAATTCAATCTTCTTGTTACCTGACCCTATTTAAATTGAACTAAAAGCCTTGAAGTGCATAATTTCAATTGGTCATAGTCTCTAAGGCAAGTAAGGCTGGTTGTAATAAAATACCGAGCAGTGACAATGAACTAACCTACACAATCAGAAAAGAAAAAGAAATTGTCACATAAGCAAAGGCTACCCAAAGATATTTTGTTCTCTCCCCTCCAGTAGGTAAGTTCTGCAGCATGGTTAGGTCATGCCATGTACATATTATACAAATACAGTACATTAATAATACCCTCAGTCAAGTGAATATGAAAGCACTATAAATGAAGACTTTTTCAAAGTACACTTCCTTTTTCAAATTACAATACTGAAGTGATGTTCACATTCAAGATCTGATATAGGTTACACCCATATCCTGAAAGTAAGGATTACTACAACAATATTATATGGATCTACTGTTGTTACAGATAACTTCTTTTGTGTTCTAATTGACTTCAAATTTAAAAAGAAATTGGACAACAGCTTCTTCTATTTCTACATTATCGAGTTTTCCAAACATTGAAAAGCAGTAGTATATATGTCTGCATATGAAAATATACATCAATATACTTACTTTGAAAGTACTGCTGTTCCACATTATGAAAAATAACAAAGATCTTCAACACCAGCATAGATTCCTTCAGGATTTTATAAAGGATAAAATATCACTTGCTTTTGTCTAATTCCATAGAGCAATTCTTTCCATTTTAATATAGTTTATCTCTGCTAACCTTGTGATGAGTCACTAGAAGCTTCACCTTTTTTTTTGCATTATATGAATTTTTTTTCTTTTTTCATTTTTTTACAAGACAAGTAAAGCGTTCTAGCTGATTACCTACTGTAGGAGGGAGAACGAGTACGGCTCCACGATCTGCTACGAGTTCTGCTGCGACTGCGACTGCGCGACCACCAAGATGACTCGGAGGATGATGGGGAGGGAGGGGGCGTTGGCCGGTGATAGGGAACAGGTCGTTTCCTTGCACTGTTTTGTGTGGTTTGTGGAGTTAGTTGTATTAGCAAGGTTAGTGGTATTTTAGTACAGCATATACAGTATCAAGGAGATATTGAAATAAGCACTACACATTCCCTACAAGTTAGTAATTAATAATGGATTAGATATGAAACTGGGGTGTTATTAAGTACAATAAATAGTAAAGATTAAATATATCAATAATGATTATATGTGAAATGTTATGAAAACAGACACATTAATAAATTCCAGTAAATAATATTGTTTTACTTACAATAATAACGCCACCATTTACTATACTGCATACAGGAATTAACTTACACCTGTCTGCAGGCATATAATAAAACATGTTTCAGTCTTACCTGTTACATTAAGAAAAAACACTTTTCACAACTCTGCCTTCTTTCCCATACTGTATATTTTACTTGATTACACTAATCTTTATAATTTTTTCTCTAATACTGTACTGTATCTTCAACCTCTGCTTCAGATGTGGGTAAACTTACTGCCTAGTGGGTCACATTAGAAGATGCAAATGGTTTGACAGGCTGGATCAGAGCCAACTTAGACAACTACAGTTAACTCTTATATTGATCATTAATATGATGTGGTTTGAGGTTAAAATATATTTACACATTAAACTATACTAAAGTAATCCCTATGCAATTCAGCATGTCTGAATTTTGAATCCCCCATAATTTGTAATGTTTTGGTGGCTCCAAAATCCAACACATTTTCCCATATTTAGTATGGTGTACAGGTGTACCCTGATAACCGAAGCAAAAAAGTCATTGGTTAGTGAATCACCGGTTATCGAAGCAATTAATCCCAAATGCACATAACACATTCAGGGGGTTAGGAATCGGCCACCCTCCAAAAAACTCCCATCTACCCTTGATATATCTCTGCCGTGCACACTGTCAAGCAAGAAAATAAATCAGATATACAGTATAAAGTAAACATAATTAGCCTTAAATAAGCAATGTAAAGCATAAACTGAGACGTATTTACCTGTGCTAAGGAGGGTAGAGACAGTCTAGGGTGGCAAGTTCAAGTCTTTACCAATCTTTGCTGATCCATCACTACTCTTATTATGCCTTATTACACCTTATCACATCACACCAAGCTGCCTCCAAGAGGAACTATCACTGGGGAATTTAGGCATGATTGCATAACACACGAAGTTGGAAATAACGACAAAACACGAAGTCAGAGACACATGGTAAGTATAAACAAGAGCAAAGATGGCGGGAATGAGTCAGAGGCAGTTGCAAGAATTCGCACCACACCAACGCCCAGCAAATTCAAAACAACTCTACCTCTCTTCACCTGATCGTCAGATCTCTGGGGTATTAACAAAACTCGTGGGGTATTTCCCCTATATATAACTGTCATTTATGCGATTATGTGAAGCAGCGGTTATTGGTGCATCAATTTTTGGTGTATACCTGTAGTTATAGGGTAAGCTGGGGGGTTATTTTGTCAGACAGCAACCTAACTCCAGTATTCCCATAGGCTCCATCATCTATAGATTTGTGGTATTTTCAAAGAACATACTCCCACGGAGGGTAAACTCTTATAATACAAGTTATTCATCTAAAATATATTCAATGTCTTCTCCTGGCTTGGAGTTGCACACTATAAATGTACATGAAACACCTGGCCTTGGAAGTAGAGTACAATACAATACAGCGTATTATAAAACATTTGCTCATGTCTCATGTCTTACCTCATTCATTACAACATTTTTTTCTTCTTTTTATCTTCAGACTTAGCTTGCATCTCAATTCAAGAACCTCCTGTTATATAATAAAGAAATCAAACAACAAAAGCAACTTACCAACTACAGTACTACTAGTAAGAACAGTACAGATCTAAAAAGTAGCCATTATTTACTTGTGCTGTTCATTGATGAATACTGTTAAATAAAGTGAAATAGAATATATCAATACCTTTACTTGTTCAAAATATAACATGCATACAGTGCTAATAAAAATGTGTAAAAAAAAATGAGGGTAGCCACTGGAGTGAATACATAAGTAAGCATACTGAAGAAAATTAAAAACAAATATAATCCAATAAAGTCAATAACATTCCCACTCCCCACACATACACTAATACAGAGACATACAATTATTGTACTGTATATCAATCACAAATTACATACACACCCCCTGCCTCACAGTCTGTACAGTATATGTAAGTGTGAATGATATTACCCTTAGAGAGGTTCTCACCAAATTCCAGTTTGTAATTAAACTGCAGAGTTCTGAACACAATCAGGTAAATCAAGAATGCAACACCTGGTAGAGAAAGACTGTCTTGCAGATATAATTAAAACAGAACTATAAACAAAGAAATACAGAAATCCTACTTGTAATTTAATATTAGAGAATACATTAATCCTATACAGGTACCAGGTACTTTATTTCTTGTGTTGGATAGGGGAGCATTAATAAGCATCAAATGACTTTGATCTTCATATCTAAAATATAGTGCTGGGGTTCTTTTTTTTTCAAAACAGTTTGGTACTCATATAAAGTACCTTATATCAGGCACCCTACAAACAAATATATTAATTATCATTTTTCATCATCTTGTTAGTGAAGATGACTGTTACATCTTCACACACACACCGGTTTATCACATAGGATTTTATGGGTTCTGTAATTGAGGCTTTACCATAAATGTAATTTTGAGATACTGGTATTCCCATATTCTCTAATCACTTATCCATTATATGGTATATTTACTTAAGCCTATATGTCACAGGAAGGCTGTGCATATGAAGCCTGAAAAAGCCTGGGGAGGCAGATATGAAAGTGATGTTCAATGATTTCTGGAAGTTAGGCAATTACAATATCCAGAATGACTACCCCGGTATCTCCAAAACCAGGTGTCGAATGCAAAGGTAAAGAGGAGCCATGTCGAGGGAGAGCATGTCAGCTGTTAGCATGAATCACATATGTACTCCATCACCAGTCACCAGATGAGTCCAGGTGCAAAAAAAGGCTGTTTATTGTAGTGCATCCTGTGGTCAGCATCCTCGACTCGCAAGCGACCCGAGTTCGATCCTCGGGCAGGGTGAAACTATGGGCAAGTTTCTTTACGCCATTTACCTCTGTCTTTCCAGCAGTAATTGGGAACCTGGATGTTCATCGATTTGCGGATCGCATTCCAGGGTAATGGTTAGCCAGTGCAGTTGGCGAGTTGTCCAGTCTTCTCGGACTATTCGTTGACACTGGGTCATGCAGCTTGTTAACTTGGGGTGTGGTTGTTGTGTTGGTGACAGCTTCTACACCTTAACAAATTCACGCCGAGGAGGCCCTTGGGCCAGCCATCCTCGATTTCGAGGGGCTTCCATTATTATTCTCTATTACTGTATTCTTGTTATTCTACTCTTCATTTGGTCTCATATAAAAATTAATAATTAACCACTTAAGTATGGGGCTTCTCTGTGCTGAATAAAATTGTCTGATGTTAGACAAATAAAACATTAAAAGAGACACCCTTCAAGTGAAGGGGTTATTGTCCCATATGAGCATAACATTATTACCCATTATAATACAGTACAGTAAAAACATTAAGGGAACATTAATGAAAATAATGTGTAAGGTTTCATGAGAGTAAAGACGAGTATTAGTTGTGGTGTTGGGTGACAGTCTGATGGAGGCATACTAGTCAGCACACGGAAACTTTATACATCCATCTCTTGAAATGTCAGTTTTTGTATTGTAACAAAATACACAGTGATCCCACACAGTTTGGGGGTACAGTATTTTCATAATGGAAGGGTCAATAAAGCACAACATTTACATTTTGTTGCAAACCTCCTAACTGAATGCTGCACTTCAACTATTGTTCTTATAGCTCATTAAAGTTGCTAAAATATAAACTTAATATGACAATTAACTTAAATAAAAAGAGTATGAAACTGAGTGTTTTTGCACAATTTAATATCACAGACTTGCTACCTTTCCACACAAATTAATATCAGGGAATTAATAAATCATGGACCAAGATCCTAACTTATCTTAACCTAACCTAACCAAGCCTACCCCTTACCAAACATACAGTTCTAACACACTGTACTGTATATGAAAATCTCTATGGTCTGGTTTTCAGTTCTGATATTGGGATAAATTTGGTCCCTAAAATAATCCTTCTCAATGATCCTGCTCTGTGCATCATGTTTCTTACCCAGTCTCAGTACATCTCCATATGCACAATTTCAACAATTTACTCAGTGTACAATATTATAATCTCAATTTCCAATACTACAGTACATATTCATTACCATACTAATAACTAGGGCAGTACTCCCTCCTCCCATTACATCAGCAATTATACTGAAGAACCAAGTGAATATTCCCAACAGAGCCCAATGTTAAACTTATGACCCATGTTGATGCATCATCACCACCAACACCACCTCCAATTCAATCTCTATTTCTTTCCTTATTTCAACCATTTATCCCTCATTGCTCTACAAACTCTACTACAGTATTTCAGTGATATTTTTTTTAAGTGTTTTGGAAGACTTCAAGTTGTTCAATTACTGATAAATACACCTAGATAAAGATCATTCATATATCAGAAATTTAACTCAGTAAACAACAAAAAGTACCTGCAGCTATTATGTGGTGGTTGTATTGGATTTATTGTCAAAAACAAAAGAAAACTCCAAAGTAATAATAATAAGATGTGCTGATGAGGTTATCAGCTTAAGCATAATCCTTGGCCATCTGTCAGTTTGTAAATACTGTAGAGTCCAATCCTCAACATCTGTAAGCAACTATACAAAGAGAAGGTACAGACATCTGCATAGCAAAAAATAAAATAACAGATCAGAGCAAAATAAATAATAGTATAGCATCTTAACACATAAAATATATATACAGTATATATACTGTATATATATATAAATATACTGTATATATATATATATATATATATATATATATATATATATATATATATATATATATATATATATATATATATATATATATATATATATATATATATATTATCTACAATGACATGCTAAAATAAATATTTACTTTGTGTATAATTATGCAAGCAGAAATAAAAATTTAAAGAAATACTTTCTACTTTAACTTGACTTTTATACAGTAAAAATGTAAATAACATAAAAATACTATTAAAACTTTAAATACTAAGACTCAACAAAACATAACATGTACAGGATGCAAACCTTAAGTATGTACTTACTGATCTTTAACTAGATACAAGACTACTAAATTCAAGTGAGCCATGATGCAACATAAGTAACGTGACTAAACAGGTTATTAATTACAAAGATAAACTTACCTGGTGATCCTTCTTTTGTCCAAGAATGATGGGGATCCTCTCCTGCGTGGGATGGACAGTGATCGGGATCGAGATCTCGTCCTTGAACGGGATCTTGAGACTGATCGACTATAATGGCCATATGACCGAGACCTAGATCTTGACCTTGTCCGTCTTGATCTTGACCTGGAATGTGACCTGGATCTGGAATATGACCGTGACCTTGACCTTGATTGTGGGGAATTGGACCTTGAATGTGAATGTGACCGAGACCGAGAACGAGGGGAGCGAGACCTGGTGTGAGAATAAAAAATTATATCTCTTAAGAGAAGCATCAATATGCACTGTTTAATATTTTGGAATGAAAGTCCATTAATTTACTATAATATGCATACTGTATACCGTACAAGCATATTGTACTGTACATACATCTTTGTACAGTACAGTGGTCCTCGGTTAACGAGCACAATTCGTTCCAGAAGGTTGCTCGTTAACCGAAAAACTCGTTAACCGAAACCATTGTTTCAATGGATTTTTGGGTAATTGGTTCCAGCTCACCAAAAATTGCCTGAAATCAACAAAAATAGTAGTAAAGTACACTTACTTTGAGGTGTGTATGTAGAAGGCTCCTGGATGATGATGATGATGGGAATTAGAATAGGGGTGGAGGAGAAGGGAGAAGAGAAGGCATTGGGGTGGAAGAGAAGTCATCCCATGGTGCCATTTCACCCATAAAATTTTAGTTCTCTTGGTGTAATTCATGATTATTTTCTTTAAATCAACACTGCACTGCATTATATATTGTCAATATGTAAAATAAATTTCAAATTGACCAATAATTTGCTTGGAAACACAGAAAAAAGGGTTTGGTTGAAGAGAGTCTCAAGCAAGATGTTACCTCCACTGAAAAGACACAGAGACTGACGCCTGTTTGGTATGTTGACAGGCTTTTTGGCGAGCATAAAACTAGTTTCCTGTACTTCAATTATGTTCAATAATTGTTAAAATTACTAAAAAATTTAATATTAAACTTTTAAAATTGTTGAATAGTATAAACTTCTTGATATTTACTAAAATAGTAAGGAATTTAAGCCCTAGAACCGATTACTGAACTGTATTGGCGGACTAATACTACAGCTGGTGGACCACCAAATGCAAGCGAAAACATGTGGAGGGTCGCTCGTTAAAAACTCGTTAATCGAGGGATAGCTCGTTAACCGAAGTTAAGAATCTTATGGAAGGTAAATTGTTAACAGAAATCTCGTTAACTGAGGGATCACTGTACTGGACAGCATCTCATTATATTGTACTGTAACACTTATTGTTCTGGAATAAAAAATAATAATGCCTATGAAATATATACTGTACAGGTACTTGTATCTATTCTATTTCTGTTACTATCTATTTCATAAAACTTTTGCTGCCACATACACTATTTTTTCAAGAAGGCAGCCAAGAGGAGTACTAATGTTACTGACAAGGAACCATCAAGGCTTTAAAATCTTGTGGCAAAACCACCAACCAGACTGTGCCATTGTATCAAAGATCCTGAATGACAAACAGCATTACTGTATATGACAACCATTACCTCGGACCTTTGGCTTAATTTTACCAATATTAATTTCAAAAGTTATGCGAACACAATCATACTATTTCAGTACTGTAATACAAATAAATACAAACAAAAAGAAGTGTATTTAATCAGACAAAAATTATTTATGAACTCTACTTCTCACAAAGTCTCATGACTTGTGAGAAGCTGCTGGGAAACAAATATCTTCATTTAACTTGTTTTTAGGGAATAAAAGGACTGTTTTAATTTACTTATTTTAAAGTATGCATACAGCAATACTGTCTTTATTTTATTATTTAAGAACTAGAACCAATGTTCAAGTGAATTTGAGTGGGTGTGCAGAAGTAAAACTTGATGTAGTCTATTGGTAGGACTAAGGTAACATATGGATGACCTTAGGAAGAAAATTTAACCTAAACTAGTGCCTTAGAAAACAGAAAATCCTCAATAACTCCCAGATATAAGAGTCTATGTCTGCAATAATACAGGGTTTCCTGTAGCACAGGGCATCCACTTTCACAAAAATTTAATATTGAAAAATTACTCTATGCCTCATGAATATTTAGGCATGAAAATCTGTTTTAAATAAAAGGCTTGAAACCTATGAGTGTAACTTATAACAGCAACTTGCATTTAGAATTGTCTGCTAAATGTTGAAGTATGAGCAATATAACATAGGAAAATAAATATTGCTATTGTTAAAATAAAAAAAATATCTGATCATACAGTACCAAATATGAAAAAATAAAGGCATTCATTAAGAACAGATAAGGAATAATAAGTATATTATGACAGTAAAAACCCAGTAATGATGGATTCTGTCATTACATAATCCCCATCAGACCATTCACTTTTGGTGTTGTATGGATTCATCAGGAAAAATAGTGAAAAAACCATGGAGGATGTGGCTAGTCAATCCCTGACCTTTGTTACCAACTAAAAATTCATAACCTACTTCCATTAATCATATTACAGCAAAGTACAGTAATATCTCCATTAGCCAGAATCCCTCTTAACTAGAACTCTCTGATAGCCACAATTTAAATTTTCTCGGAAAATCATTTCCAAAACCGTAATTTTCTGGAAAATTACGGCTTTGGGACGAGGGATTTTTTTCAGGCTTTGAGAGAGTCGCCTCATTATCCAGAAATCTCTCATTCCCAGAAGTGCTCTGCACCAATTGTTCCGACTAATGGAGATATCACTAAGGGGAAAAAAAAAGGATAGAGGGCCTTGTACTATACCTGGGAGATCTAGAACGAGAAGTAGGTGAGCGCGAGCGTGGTGAAGGTGAGCGGGACCTTAATGATGGTGAGTGGGAACGTGACGAAGATCGCGAGCGAGAACTGCGGCTGCTGCGAGATGATGACCTTCCCCTGCTGGAGCTTCTGGAATACCTGCTATGAGCTGGAGACACCGCTGCTACACCACTGAAATGTCAAATTAATTGAAGCCTTTAATATGGTCAACCATAACTAGATTTATTATACTGTAATACATCAAACCTCAGATAAGAGATTACACAAATATAAATAAGGAGCAAAGATGACTACAATGGTGGGACCATAACACTAGAGAAATGTTATACTGAGTGTATATACAGTATACTCTTGATGAACAGTGTGAGAAATGACCATGGTAACATGGTTATTGATAACAAGGAAACGAAGGATGCCTTGGTGACTGAATTGACTCATACAATCATGATGGAATGTACTGTACTGTTCCAGATGACTCAAGGACAACTGTGATCATGAATACTTACAAGGGTAAAGGTGATGCACCTAAAGCTGCTAGATCAGGTTATGAAAGTTTTGAAAAGAGTGATTGAGAAACTGATATAAGGGAGAGACTGGACATAAACAAAATGCCTTTTGGACTTATTCCATGTAGGGGGACTAGAGGCAATATGTATGGCCAGACAGCCACAAGAGAAATATTTAAAGAAGGAAAGAAAATTTTTCATGAAGTAGTGAGGTGAGCAATGAGAAAGCTAAGCGTTGAGTACTGTACCTTGTTTAAAAGGTCATGGCATTATATGAGGGCTCAGAAAACCTGTGAGAATAAGTGGTGAGGAATTTGAGGTGAAAGTAGGGGTCTGTCTTGAGCCCCCTACTGTTTACCATGGTACTGGAAGCAATATCACAGGACTTTATGACAGGCCTGTTCTGGGAGTTGTTGCATGTTAATGACTTAGTGCTGATACCAGATAGTAGTGAAGAAGCAGTGGAGAAATTTAAGAATGGCCTGAAAGTGAATGTGGTGAAAACAAAAGTATTTTTAGTAATACAGGTGAGGGACCCATGATGGAAAGTGGAAAATGGACTTGTGCTGTCTTTAAGAAAGGAGTTTGTTGCAACTCAATGATTTGCAGTGAGTGTGAAAGGGAGTACACACGGGGCTAGAAAAATTCACCACTGAGGATATGTCCCTGGACTGTGTTGATGAGTTCTGTTAATTGAGTAACATGATCAGCACTGGTGGGGGTGCTGAATCCTGTTCGGTTGCAAGTCAGAAGTGACTGGAGGAATTTAGGGAACTGCTGGCTTTATTGATGGCAAGAGGACCTTTCCTCCGCATGAAAGGAAAAATGTCTGTGGCTGATGTGAGAAGTAAGATGATGTATGGCAGTGAAACATGGGCAGTTAAAGAGGATGGCATCAATAGATCTGAGCAAGATGAAATGAAAATAATGAGGTGGATGTGTAATGTGACACTAAAAGGCAGAATGCCTGGTTCAGAGCAAAGAGAGCATCTGGGAATTGAGAGTATTGACAAAGTTTTGCATAGAAGCAGACTGAAGTGCAATGGGCATGTGGAGAGAATGGAAGAGACCAATTGGATCAAGAAATGCATGAGCCTAAACTTGGAGGTAAGGAAAGTCAGGGATAAAACAAGAATGACATGAGGAGAAGTTGTATGAAATGGCATTAGAGTTAAAGACCTGACAAGTGAGGCTGCAAGAGACTGTACAGCATGGCAAGCTGCCATCAGGTAATTGCAGCTAACTCATACAAGCATAGAAAATGTCCATAAAACATTGATGATGATTGTGATGATAAGACTGTAGTTGACCTGTTGTACTATGCACCCCATTAGCCATTCCCCCAACAATCAAGAGGATAGGTCTAAAATGGTACTTATCCAAAAACTTCCCAGGACTACAAAGTCCATAAATGCAATGTTTTGTGTAGGCAACTGCCAGCAAATGTGTTAACAGAATGCTCTGGCTCCTTACTACAGGGGGGATGTTAATGATATGTGAGATGTCCTTTAGGAAGGCTGCTGTAGTTAGATGCTATACTCTTTAAGACTTTCACTCCAATCACAAAACCTAACTGCTGAAATTTAATGAATTCCATAGTCGCAATGAAATATTTGAATTTTCCTTTTTATGCCCTTCGATCAAAATCAAGGCATAATTAAAAAATCTATATGTATTTCCAGTATATGAACCAACTGTTTGTCCACACCCAAACTGGGTGGTCTCAATCTTAACACTTTCGCAGGCTGATGACGAATATTTTGTCATCCAAAAAATTCCTGTTAGCATTCCGAAAACGAAAATATCACCATCGACTTCAAAAATTCATCAAAATCTATTTATCGCTGGATTTTCATGGTTCAAGTCTCAAAATGCACACCATTGTCTTCCCATTTTTGCCACATAACTGTGGTGGACGTGAGGTGTTAGGACAACCACCCTGTCGGCCTGCAAGCATCAGTGTGTCCTAAGGATTTACAGCGCACAGACGCTACCCACTTTGTGATAATCACTCATACTTTTGTATGTTGGTTTTAGATTCAACTTTGTTTGTATAATAGTTCAGTGTTGTAGAGAAATCAATTGTGAAGAAATATACACACAAAAATTTTTTAATACAATGGAAAATGTGAGAAACAATAAAGAACTGCAAACATTTATCCAACGATTGTTGTCGGCCAAACACGCCTTGCCCACCTTGGGTGGTGGCGGCACACGCCCTGTGGGGCCTGAAAACGTTAATAAAGAAAATGGGACTTGTCCTACAGTTTATTCCTGGCAAATTACTAAAGAGTGGCAAACCAGATCGTCTCAGGTGATATCTGTTCCAAATAGAGAAGTGATTTTAATGTGGGCTTACATCATAGGACTGCACATATTGCTGGCTGGCATGCTTTCTGAGTGGGTGTTAAATCCAATCTCTTTCCCCTGGACTCTCTCTTGGTGACTGTCAGAACAGGCATGCTTCCATTGTTATATAATCAATAACTTCTAACATTCGTCTACAGGAGTACTTAGTGAGGGTGGATACATATTTTATGAACTGGAATGTATGACAACAGATCTACTTCTTCTCTCATCGATCCCATAAGCTTCTGATGGTACAGAAGCCGAGAGAGTTCTGGCAAGGTAGTCTGATTTCCTCAACTGGTTCTGGTCTGTTCAAATCCTATTCCACTTCTGGCTTCATCCCCGAGTCAAATAGTGGGAGAGGAGGTGGTCTGGTGTTGCTGCTATCAATTTCATAAACACCATATAGGGGATACTTTGAGAAGACCTTAAATTAGTGATGGTTAGGAGTAATGTTGTCAGTACCTAAGGCCACAAAGGTTATAATATGGGGACTAAGTTTTACCCTGTTTAGTGAATTTAATGTTAGCAAAACCATCAGTAACACCCTTTCAAGGCTAGTTGCTGGCCCTGTGTCTTAGTATAGTGTTGTCAAATGGGGAGCTCAAGAATTTATATTTCCTACAATTCATCTTGCATTAGAATGGTTCAATAAGACTACCCCCTTTAGGAGTATAAAAGACCCAAAACCTGAAACCTTTGGGTACTTTCTCCTCCATCTCCAGCTGCTTTGATATACAGAGCTGTTAATAGATCTGGTTTAGGAGATTCTAGCAGTGTTAATGGCTCAGCTTCATTTGTAAAGGCTTTTTTATATCCCTTAACCCTTTCACCGCGTGTCATGCACTTGCTATTTTATTCTGGCTACCGCCAGACGATTTTATTCAGCTTAGAGTAACCTACCGCTGTGAAAGGGTTAAGCTCAAAGGGTAAATTATTTATTTTTGTCCTTGTCTCAAATAGATGTTTCTATTCCTAGATGCCAAGTTCAGCTAAGATTCTGGGGTTTCTTAAAGAAGCACTTTCCCCAGGAGGAATGTTTCCCTAGTAATCAAGGGAAGTCTGGATTAACTCCAAGTCAGGAGTTAGTTTGTCATTCAGTGTTTGATATCTATATGTTAAACGGTTTCTTGTTTCTCTTATAAAAAAATAACACCTCTAGTAGATGGTGCATGGAAGGAGAGTAGTTCGTAAATGTAGGGTGATGGGAATGATTCAGTCTCTAGGCGCACAATTAAAATTGTCCTTGTTCCTTTCAGTGTACAGATAATACTGTACCTGTAACACTTACAATGAACAACAAGCCTAGACAATTATCAACGGTTATTCAGAAATATCCAACTGCATCTGTTTTGTTTGCAGATGTGTTACTTCAGCAGTCTAACAAGGGAATAGTGAGAGTCTGGTGCATTTTCTACTTTGACATAGGAACTGAGCTTGTACATCTTTATCATGTTTTCGATTGTAAGTTCCTGCATGGGATGTTTAGCAATGTGGAATTGTTAATATTGTTTCCAAGGTTTTATTTAATTAGTCTAGAAGCTTATCTGTTCTCAGAGCCAGGCAGACACAAACAGGGATGTTATACATAATTAGGTAATTAGTCAAAATACAGTACAGTACCAGCATCTGATTGAATGTTAGTTAAGGAGTCTTTCTCATGGATCTTCTCTTGGGATATCACAGATAGTTAGTCTGTTTGTAATGGTGAGCAACCAACAACTAGTTTATTAGTTGGTACTGTACTACTTCAGCTCTTGAAGAGCTTTTTTGGTTTTCATACTTTCTCCTCATTTTTGGGGAGGCTAGAGTACAGTTTTGACTGTTCAATAATAATAATAATAATAATAATAATAATAATAATAATAATAATAATAATAATAATAATAATAATAAGGAACTACAGTATCACAGTTCCATAAGTTAATTACCATGAAACAATTTTGGGGGGTCAAGCAGGTTATACAGTAGTTTCTTCCCCTCCCTTCACTTTGTCTTATCTTTTTCACTTTCCATATAAGGCTTTCAATGAAGAAATGCCTGTGGTTTTCTTCAGTTTTACAACTTTATTTTGGAGATTATAAAATATGTCATTCATTCTAAGTTTTTGTTCACATATAGAGCTCGCCTCCTGTTCCATGGGTCGGTGGTTCGATTCCCAGGCGCTCCCAGTTCACCCAGCTGTAAATGGGCACTAAGTTTCCAAGTTGGGGAAGTGAATGCAGTTGGGAGTAATACTGATCATGCTGCCTCCTTGTGTGCTGAAGCTTAGTATAGTGTCTGGTGTATCCACACTGCCTCTAACAGGCAATCATGCCTATGGAACCCACTTTTATGTTCACATTTTATGTTTTGAGGACATTCTAATCAATCACAATCTGTCAATACCTGTATTGTTTTCTTCTTTAATTAACCAATTTCCTTAGGGTATGACTCTTTTTTAATTACATCATCATCAATGTTTTACAGCTATTTTCCACAATAGCATGGGTTAGCCACAATTACCTGATGAGTGCTGTTGGGTAAAACTAGAATGGGATTGTCCCCCTTCCCCTCACCACAGGGGAATCTTAATGTAGCACAGTACAGTACAGGTATAAGGTTTCCTAGGTTTTTAAACACTGACAGTCAAAAGTTATCATCTGACACTCCTGGCCTGCACAACCATCACTCAACAACTCATTCAGTAAACAGGTGCAGGGTTACTGGATGTAGATTCTGCTAAGCCAATTCCAAGCATAATGTTGTGAAACTGTGTGCCAGTGATGTGTGGTCCAAAAGATTAGAAACAAATATGCATCTCCCCCTGAGGAGAGTTGCCATATCAGTATTTGGGACATTTTTTAATGCCACTTTCTCCTTTATCTACTTGACTTCAGATACATGGGTGGCCTAAAATGGACACAAACCATAAATGGTAGAGTGGTCCTGGAAGTCATGGGGTTCACTGTACATATACAGTAATTCACAAAACTCTAAGCCTCTCTCTATACAACCTGCAATGGGAAAATCAATGCTCCCACTTAAGACACAGTGGTTGTGACAGCATGATCCTAGGTTTACTGATGAAGCCCAACACTTAAATATCACAACAACAGCCAGACCAGCTCTCCAAGAGGGTTACAACCAAGTCCATTGGCAAAAATCCACTATGGTGACAGTTGCTTCTGCCATGCTTATGAAAACATTATCTATAGTGTTGAAGGATCACCTCAAAACTGTGAGTGTTTTCATACTGAGGACATTCTTATGGTAATAAAAAAATTTCCTGCGACTCATCTCCACCCACATACCCCATGTTAATACAGCCCTCTGTCTTAGGAGTCCACTAACCACAATGAAATGAAATATATCTACATTACAGTAACATAATGGCAGATCAACATTATCAATATTAACCTTTAAGCAAATACATTTATAACCACTCTTATTATTAATAATAATTATGAGTCTGTACATTCTCTGCAGCTACCTGTATCCATTTTATTTGTATCTGTCCACAAAAAAATGGACGGCCTGACAGTGACTGATTTGCAGTTTTATATATACAGTTGAGTCTGGATTTACGCGGTTTTGGTTTACGCGGTGCCTTGCCAGAATTGAAATGCTTGATTTACACGGCAAATTTGGTCATTTACGCGGGAAGCGGCACGGGCAGGGTGCGCACAAGGTCGCCCAGTCATCAAAACATTACCGAGTTCTTCACCCGCCACCCACCACAGCCGGCCCAAGTCAGTGATAGTGATAGTGAGGATATGGACTTATATGGACTTTGAGGGGTTTGACAAAGAGGTCCTGCAAGCCTCTGTGGTGGGTAGTGATACAGGTGAGGGCCAATAATCTGCCCTCTGCCTCGGAACCAACCCCCCATCCCCGTGTGCCCAGCCATCTTTTCTACTAATGTCAGTGTTAAAAAATCTAATATTATTGATATTTCTCTTAATAATTAATTGTGTGTGCATACCATCATAAAGTTAAGATGTTATTTTGACTACACATACAGTACTTACTGTATCGAACTAACTAATGAGTCATCCACATACAGAACAAATACTATCCAATACAATTCTATCTAAAAACTGAACTAGTTACAAGTCATGTGAAATGATGGCGAGAAAGTTGAGTGAAAAAATAATTATGTGTAATAATGGAACACAGATGTCTGTCATGAACATGAAATTATTTTCTTACCTTGAGTGTGGTACTGGAGACTTGTTGGTTGAAGGTCCTCCAGTATGGCGACCATTCTGTGGGAGACGTGGCAAATCTTGAGGTCCACAGCTCCGTACACTGGCTGACTCATTTGATCTTATCAAGGTGTCATTGATGTCTAATAGTTTAGCTGATAGAGACTGATTCTGACTCCACTTTGGGCTTTGTATATCTCCTAAAGTTTTACTTGGGCTACCTACTTTTGGTAAAGGGATTGACCCACAACTTGTAAGGTTCACCCTCATACTTTCATGAGATTCCTGTCCTGGAGAAACCCTGAGTGGAGACTTGCTAGCTGAGCGAGACAGAGATCTCAGCATAGAGGCCTCTGTAGAAGCAGTATATCTCTGTGATTTACAGTGTAAAGGTGAGAAGCTCAGGTCACTGCTGCTTTGCCTTTCACTGCCTGTGACCTCCAGTTTGGTAGCCTTCTCGGTTCCTTCGCACTCATGACCTTCCGTTGATCCTGGTATTGATGAAATCCTCCAAGGAGAATCAAGCTTCTGTTCCCCACTTCTGTTTCTACTTCTGCTCCTGCTCTTCTGTTTAATTATGTCTTGAACTTGATCTCTGTCTTGGAATAGGGATATACTGTTCTGATTTTCCGTTTGCTTGTCACTTTCCTTTTCTTTGTGACTTTCTCTCCCCCTGTTATTATCCCTCGGACTGGTTTTGGATGTCTGTTGGTTTGAGGACAGAGCATCTTGATGTCGTGCAGTGCGTTTATCTGGTGAGGATTCAACATCTGAACTGTGCTGCTGCTGCTGCTTCGTACGAGATCGTGGAGCCTCTGGAGAGCTGATAAGTACACAAAATACTATATCACTCTATCTAACATAAGATTTGAGTCATAATTAAAGCAGGACTATTTGCAAATAATATACTACTTATGAGGAAACTCAAGTAGAACAAAATATCTAGGGGAAAAAATAAAAAGAAAAAACTATGAAGTACACACATTCTTTATTGACTAAAGGTTACAACAGCCAAGTCGCTGTTATCCTGACAAATAAAATAAAAGGAAAAGAAATGGAAATATATTTTCCTTTTACAACTAAAAATAAGGGCAATACATTCTAACAACTTGACCAGCAGCACAAGTACCCACTCTAGTTTACTGATCTACATGAGCACCTGACTATAACTACTAAGCTAAGGTCATCAAACTTAATAGAAAAATAAAACTCCAAAGAGCAAACCATTTGTGTTCAAGTGTACAACTACTACTGTACTGTACATAAAATTAAAATTCAATTTCAGTAAAGATCCTTTTGATGAAGAGTGATAAAGTGTCTTGATTATTTTTGCTTTACACAACATGAATTACTAATAGCTTCATTACTTTAATGTGTAGTAAGGCTGGAGCCCCTCTCTTACTCCTTTTTGGTGTGGATTTGAGTTAACAGATGGCAAGATGATAAATATTATGCACCTCAGGTCTATGCCTCAAATACTTAAGACATATCTGCTAGTGATATGATCTGGTAGGTCAAATTCTACTGCAAACAACATTCTTCTCACCAAATATCTCTTACAGAAATAATCATTCAAAATTTGTTCCATATTAATATCATAAAAAACGCAAGATGACTTGTTTTCGCCATCACAATCTTTCCCCCGCTATGATACAGTACTGGGCTGATGGAATCAAAACTAAATAATGATTCTCACTCTCATTAACATTCTCAATAAAGAAATCAATACAAAGGTCTAGAAATTAAATCTTTGTTTTTCCCTTTTAGATGGTATTCTAGATACAAGAATAATATACACACCTTTTCCAATGTATTTAATATTGATCAGATAATTTAAACATAAACTGCCCCAAGAAGTAGTTCTGTGAGGTACATTCATATACACTGTGAGGTTGAAAGAAATGGATTTTCCTTATAAGACTGCTTATTAACATTATGACACTGAAAAATTCTGTATAACTAACACACTCATTCAATATACATATCTGAATTTCGAAATAATGATACAGTCATAATTCAAGAAATCCTAGTTATATCCAATCCTAATTAATACTAGTGATGAATTATCAAGAACTATGAATCAGTTTCTGTGACAGATAATATCAGTGCACTGGTAGACTGTGCGACGGGCTAGACGTAGAGGGATATGTGAACCTCACCTCTCTGCACGGTGGTGTGGCCTCTTGCGAGACTTCTCACGGCTTCTGCTTCT